TCTCTCTCTCTCTCTCTCTCTCTCTCTCTCTCTCTCTCTTTCTCTCTCTCGCTCCTTCTCTGATACTATGATTAAGGAGATTTTCTTCTAACTGATTCCGAGTCCCAATTCATAATAAAATAGATGACTGCTTCGTTGCTGCAAAATTTTAGTTACGCAATTTTTCTTAGATTGCCTCTCTTGGGTTTGACTGAAAACAAAAGTCAACAATACTTTATCCTTCTCTGTTTTTCTATTTCTGTCTGTCTGTCTGTCTGTCTGTCTGTCTGTCTGTCTGTCTGTCTGTCTGTCTGTCTGTCTGTCTGTCTGTCTGTATGTATGTCTGTCTCTCCCTCTCTCTCTCTTTCTCTCTCTCTCTCTCTCTCTCTCTCTCTCTCTCTCTCTCTCTCTCTGTATCTCTCTCATTACATCTTTCCGTCCTTTCAGAACCGTGCGATGTAATCTCCGGGTATACCTCTGACCCAAGTCGATGTGACACGTTTCTACTGTGCTCTGGAGGCCTTGTGGTGAGCTCTACCAAGTGCCGGTATGAGTTCTTTTTCGATAACTCCACCAAAGTGTGCAGGCCACCTAACCAAGTACGGTGTCATAACGGTTCTACCGGGACAAGTGGATCGAAAGTCGGAGGTGAGTGCGTTGAGGGTAGATAGATAGACAAACAAACAATTTCCTCTCTCTTTCTCTCTCTCTCTCTCTCTCTCTCTCTCTCTCTCTCTCTCTCTCTCTCTCTCTCTCTCTCTCTCTCTCTTTCTCTCTCTCTCTGCTCTCTTTTCCTCTTCCCCTCTATTACTGTTATTACGGAGATATTCCTCTAATTGATTCCGATTCCAATTCATGTGAAAACCTTTTTGTTGCTTGCTAAAATTAGATTGCCTCTCTTGGATCTGGCTGACTAGAATATTCAAAGACACATTTTCCCACTCAATATTTCAGTCTCTGTCTCTATCTCAGTTCTGCCTGTCTCTTTGTCTGTCTGTCAGCCTGTGTCTCTGTCTCTCTGTCTCTCTGTCTCTCTGTCTCTCTGTCTCTCTGTCTCTCTGTCTCTCTCTCTCTCTCTCTCTCTCTCTCCCGTTCTCTCTTACTCTCTCTGTTTCTCTCCCAAAGTCCCTTTTTCTCTGTTCCTGTCTGCTTCAACCCATGTAAGTAACGCCATTGTTTGCGTATCTGTTTGTGTAGAATGAATGTCTGTTTTTTTCGTGAACCGACAACATAGCCAGGGCATTAGTCTGTCTTGGCTGCCTGTGAATGAGTGTATGATGTGATAACCAACCAACGTTGGAAGCCAACATTTTCTCTTTCTTCTGTATAGGTTATCCTTTACCTGTTCAAGACAAAATCATAAGATAAAATAAGATAAGATAAGATAAGATAAGAAAATACTTTATTACCCCACAGGGAAATTTTTCTTGGCTGTACAGGACCGTAAAAACACATGCAGGTATACATAAAATAGTGACATTATACATTACTCTCATTAAAATTCAGTATGAAAAGAGACGTAAAGCTGACAAAATGTACATTCACATGAAATGCATCATTTAACTAATGCAGGAATTTAATTACATTAAATTACATATATTCATATAATGCACCTTCTTCCTCACTGTCTGATCATTTATTTATTTCACTGAACTCCCTTCGTATTATAAGAACCGATGCTGTTTTACTCATACTTTATGCGGGATGCCCACTACGGATGGGATCTGCCGATCGGGGAGATCGCCTGACTCGGTCGCCTCAAAAACAAACGAGTTTGTTTTCAGTTTCAGGCGATCGAGTTGGGCGATCCAGCCGTAGTGGGCACCCCGTATAACTTTACTTTTATCCGCCACTTATACCCTTTTGGGTGTCGTGGGAAGAAAGAGAAGTCTCTGTCGCCAGCCGGAGAGCTTGGGTCAGGGGGATGCCGAGGGGGGTTAATGTTTCCCTGACTCCATCTACCCAGGTCTTTCTTGGTTGCCCTCTAGCCTTGTTCCCATCGAATTTATTTTTGTTGGCACGTGGTCCGAACCATTTATTCTTTTGTGTTTTTACTCCTACAAAATATTATAATATCGCGGGTTTGTCGGGCGGACCCAGCACTCAGTGGTATCATAACCTCGTCGCAGAGGTCAAGTCGGCGGCAATGAAAGAGATGATATCGAGTGGAACAGTCGTGTGCGGGTGAGGGAGCAGACTGTTCTTGGGCGACATCTAAAGGTAGAAAACAGGAGATCCCCTTGTTTTTATTTATTTGAAGTCTCCTCGAAAGATATGTGTAGTGTTCTCATGCAACCTCCCTAGTCCCAAATCAGTAGAGAATCTTTGGTCAGATTCCTTTTGGCGCAAGGAGGTTATAAATAGAAGGTACTACATAAGGCCCTTGGCCTAGCGCTACTTAAATCTGTCGCTACTAAATTTCTCTACGTCACAGAAGATCCACACGAGACGCAAAGAGCGCTGAGCCTTTGCGCTGGGCGCATTGGATGACACTTAATGAAACTGGGAAAAAAGTACAATCCACAACATAGAGCTTTCATTCCATCTGTCTCACCAGAAACGTGCGATGTGTTCTCCGGGTATACCCAAGACCCAAGTCGATGTGACACGTTTCTACTGTGCTCTAGAGGCCAAGTGGTGAGCTCTACCAAGTGCGGGGAAGGGTTCTTGTTCGACAATTCCACCAAAGCGTGCAGGCCAAGAGACCAAGTACAGTGTGACATCGGTTCTTCCACGACAATTGGCTCGAAAGTCGGAGGTGAGTACGTTGAAGGTAGATAGATAGACAAACAAACAATTTCCTCTCTCTTTCTCTCTCTCTCTCTCTATCTATCTCTCTCTCTCTCTCTCTCTCTGTGCTCTCTTCCCTCTCCCTCTATCCCTCTTCATCTTTATTACTGTTATTACGGAGATATTCCTCTAATTGATTCCGATTCCAATTCATGTGAAGACCTTTTTGTTGCTTGCTAAAAATTTTAGCACATGCGAATGTTCTTAGATTGCCTCTCTTGGATCTGGCTGACTAGAATATTCAAAGACACATTTTCCCACTCAATATTTCAGTCTCTTTCTCTGTCTCAGTTCTGCCTGTCTCTCTCTCTGTCTGTCAGCCTGTGTGTCTGTCTCTCTGTCTCTCTGTCTCTCTGTCTCTCTCTCTCTCTCTCTCTCTCTCTCTCTTCCGTTCTCTCTCACTCTCTCTGTTTCTCTCCGTAAGTCCCTTTTTCTCTGTTCCTGCCTCCTTCAGCCCATGTAAGTAACGCCATTGTTTGCGTATCTGTTTGTGTAGAATGAATGTCTGTTTTTCTTTTCTGCAAACTTATCAAGAACCAGTTTATTAAAGGCAGTCAAGTTGCTTACTCTCTTTTTCGTGAACCGACAACATAGCCTGGGCATTAGTCTGTCTTGGCTGCCTGTGAGCTGTGTGTATGATGTCATAACCAACCAAAGTTTTGAAGCCAACATTTTCCCCCCTTTTCACTATAGGTTATCCTTTACCTCTCCAAGACAAAATTCATAAGATAAAATAGATAAGATAATACTTTATTACCCCAGAGGGAAATTTTTCTTAGCTGTACAGGACTTTAAAAACACATGCAGGTATACATTTTTTTAAAAAGTAATTATACTTTACTCTCATTAAAATTCAATATGAAGAGAGAAGTAAAGCTGACTAAATGTACATTCACATCAAATGCATCATTTAACCAGATGCAGGAATTTAAGTACATTCAATTACATAATATAGTCATAAAATGCACTCCCCTCGTATTATAAGAACGGATGCTGTTTTACTCATACTTCATACGGAGTGCCCACTACGGATGGGATCGGCCGATCGGGAAATAAGATAATATTGCGGGTCTGTCTGGCGGGCCATGGCACTCACTGGTATCATAAACTCGTCCCAGAGGTCAAGTCGGCGGCAATGAAAGAGATGATATCGAGTGAAACAGTCGTGTGCGGGTGATGGAGCCGACTGTTCTTGGGCGACATTTAAAGACAGAAAACCGGAGACCCCCTTATTTTTAATTCTTTGTAGTCACCCCTAAAGAGTTGTGTAGTGTTCTCAGGTAAATTCCCTTACCCCAAATCAGTAGTGAATCTTTGGTCAGATTCCTTTTAGCGCAAAGAGGTCATAAATAGAAGGTTCTACATAGGGCCCTTGGCATAGCGCTACTTAAATCTGTCGCTGCTAAATTTCTCAACGTCACAGAAGATCCACACGAGAAGCAAAGAGCGCTGAGCCTTTGCGCTGGGTGCATTGGATGACACTTAATGAAACTGGAAAAAAAGTACAATCCACAACATAGAGCTTTCATTCCGTCTGTCTCACCAGAAACGTGCGATGTGTTCTCCGGGTATACCCAAGACCCAAGTCGATGTGACACGTATCTACTGTGCTCTAGAGGCCTAGTGGTGAGCTCTACCAAGTGCGGGGATGGGTTCTTGTTCGACAATTCCACCAAAGCGTGCAGGCCACGAGACCAAGTACGATGTGACATCGGTTCTTCCACGACAATTGGCTCGAAAGTCGGAGGTGAGTACGTTGAAGGTAGATAGATAGACAAACAAACAATTTCCTCTCTCTTTCTCTCTCTCTCTCTCTCTCTCTCTATCTATCTCTCTTTCTCTCTGTGTGCTCTCTTCCCTCTCCCTCTATCCCTCTTCATCTTTATTACTGTTATTACGGAGATATTCCTCTAATTGATTCCGATTCCAATTCATGTGAAGACCTTTTTGTTGCTTGCTAAAATTTTAGCACTTGCGAATGTTCTTAGATTGCCTCTCTTGGATCTGGCTGACTAGAATATTCAAAGACACATTTTCCCACTCAATATTTCAGTCTCTGTCTCTGTCTCAGTTCCACCTGTCTCTCTGTCTGTCTGTCAGCCTGTGTGTCTGTCTCTCTGTCTCTCTGTCTCTCTGTCTTTCTCTATCTCTCTCTCTCTCTGTCTCTCTCTCTCTCTCTCTCTCTCTTCCGTTCTCTCTCACTCTCTCTGTTTCTCTCCGTAAGTCCCTTTTTCTATGTTCCTGTCTCCTTTAACCCATGTAAGTAACGCCATTGTTTGCGTATCTGTTTGTGTAGAATACATGTCTGTTTTTCTTTTCTGCAAACTGATCAAGAACCAGTTTGTTAAAGGCAGTCAAGTTGTTTACTCCCTTTTTCGTGAACCGACAACATAGCCAGGGCATTAGTCTGTCTTGGGTGCCTGTGAGATGAGTGTATGATATGATAACCAACCAACGTTGGAAGCCAACATTTTCTCTTTCTTCTGTATAGGTTATCCTTTACCTGTCCAAGACAAAAATCATAAGATAAAATAAGATAAGATAAGATAAGATAAGATAAGATAAGATAAGATAAGATAAGAAAATACTTTATTACCCCACAGGGAAATTTTTCTTGGCTGTACAGGACCGTTAAAAACACATGCAGGTATACATAAAATAATGACATTATACATTACTCTCATTAAAATTCAGTATGAAAAGAGACGTAAAGCTGACAAAATGTACATTCACATCAAATGCATCATTTAACTACATGCAGAAATTTAATTACATTAAATTACATATATTCATATAATGCACCTTCTTCCTCACTGTCTGATCATTTATTTATTTCACTGAACTCCCCTCGTATTATAAGAACTGATGCTGTTTTACTCATACTTTATGCGGGATGCCCACTACGGATGGG